TTTGTGATACCTGCTTCCTACTGTAAAGGAAAAACAAGAATGAAGCTTGAGAAAATGTCTCTACTATTATCTGGGCTTCCATAAAGACTATTTTCCTGTTATGCTCCATTTTAATTTAGTCATCACTCCCCCATTTTTAATAAATCATTGCTCCCATACTGCTTTTCTCCATAACCTTGGTTTTATATCAATGTATTCACCAAGCACATCAGCTCACGCTGTGCTGCGAGCACACCCTAGACCCCCTCAAAAGAAACATATGCTTTTCCTCATGAAACCACAGTGCAAGTTGTTGAATTTGTAATTTTACTCTTCACATTTCCCCTTGATTTATTCAATGGTTAGCTTATTTCTCTATGGTTATTTGTATAAAGTCCATGTACTTTTTAAAGAGTATCAGACTTTCTCATGTATTTCATCTTTTCTTACAGATTATTCAATATATGGAATTAATATAAGACTGTGTAGCATGGGCTTTGAGCCACAAGATTTAAACAACAAGTTAAAATAAAAATATTAGCATCATGTAATCCTGCTGTTGTTTAATTTCCAAAACAACAAACAAGGGGCTTTACCTGGCTTTCTTTAAACTAATCTTGTTTCTGTTTAGATCTACAAATTCTCCAACCATGTGAAATTACTTGGTAGAAAAAAAAGTAACAGAGAATTGATACCTGTTTTCCTACATAACTCTTTCCAACTAATTCTTCCCCTAAGGGAAAAGATGTCTTTAAACTTTGAAATTCAGCCATGGGGTAGACAACTTCAGTAGAACACTGAGACTTGTATTTGATGTTTGGTTTCTGTGAAACTCAGTCAACTGCCATTCTGAATAAGCTGGAGCAAGTTTCTTATGTCCTTTGCCAGGCTTCCTGGGGAGACCAGCCCAAGGTCTGTTGAACTGCCAGGATTCTAGCTCTAAAAAAAAAGAGTTCTGTCAACAGGTATTGATTTCAAGTGCCAGTAAAGGCAACCCTTGACATGTCTCCCTACATGAATATGGCCAACATTCATGTGCACTATAAGTCAGGCTTTCTTCATTCCCTCAACATTAAGAAGGGCAGAAAGTTTTGGGAGAGCAGGGAAGGTTGCTGTCCCTACAGAATACCCAATAAGCCCTGGGCCTTAAACTGCACTTGTTCAGAAAAAATAGTATATGGACTCCTTCATTCTTATCACTGTCCTCTTTTCAAAAACTTTCTCGTCCTTCCTTCCCAACCTCATTCATCTTTCAGTACCTGAAACCATCCTTTCTCCTTTTAAATTATCTTGTCTTTTGCAGATTTCACTTGAACTATACAATTTTGTCACATACTATCTTGCATTTGAAACTTCAGGTTGGTGTCTGTTCACTCGGATCCAGTTTCTAAGTGGTCTTAAGTTTGAAAAAAAATGTCTTCCATATTTTATCAGTCTTTTGGACTTGAATGAAAGCATCATGAGGACACCTAAGACTTGTTTACTGAAGTATGGGTTGCACTTAACAGATCATGGGAATAATAAGAAGACAAAAGATTATAATATTTGATGCCTGGGAGGGAAAATTGGAAGTGTACTCACAATGCTTGGTATAGTGCCTGTATTCAGTTGTCATTATGACTCAAGAGGCTCAACACACATGCTAACCAGGAGCTAACCATGTTAGGCAAACTTCCAAAAACAGGTGACTAAAATGTTAAATTATAAATAGAGAAAACCATGTAAGACAGCTTTTATTTACTATGTCATTGTCTGAGTAATTCTTGGACATAGGTTTTATGATTTCATGTAATATCTGAGAGAAAATAATTGAATGATACTCAATTGTTTTGATCCAATGGCACCACTACACTATTAGTCACAAAATAGCATACTGGATAACAACAGTTTATTTCTGTTTTCTTTCAGATTCATGTTACAAATGTGAAATTAATTTTCCTTAAGCACATTTTTGTTTTATGAAACCAAAAACAAATGTTTTTCCTATTATAAAATTTGTATCTTTTGTCCTAAAATTTTTAATTTTGCTGGAAGCAAGTTTAGTTTAGCATATCTTGCTCCAGGCACATTCATTTTATTGGCTCTCACATTTCTAGATGAACCAAGCATGATCACACTGTGGGTGTTATCATTTCTCCATGTATTCAGTTGAACAAAGTGACTAGAAATCAAATGAGACTTCAAAGATTGGTAGAACTGTTCCTTGATATTCATGAAAGATCAGTCCCAGTACCTCATCTGGATATCCAAACCCACAAATGCTCAAGTTTCTTACATAAAATTCTGTAGTATTAAAATATAACCTGTGTGATCTCCCATGCACTTTATTTATTTATTTATTTATTTATTTATTTATTTATTTATTTATTAAGGCAGGGTCTCATGGGTGAAATTTCTGTGCAAAAAAGAAAAAGAAAAGAAAGCAAAAAGAAAACCGATACTTAATAGTTCATATAATGAATGATCTAATCTATTGGTGTGCATGTTTGTAAATGCACCTAAGGGAGTCTGACTCAGGTGGATGTCCATAAGGGAAAACACAGCCTAAGCTTCTTATCAAGATTTGTGTTGTCTTAACTGGCATGAAACTTCATATGTAGAGTCCTCAAACTCAAACTCGTATAGATCCACGGGCGGCTGTCTCCCATGTGCCATCAGACTTGGTACTTCCATCCACTTTCAAATCATCTATCAAGGGGCTCATAGGGCACCTCCAACAAACTATAGACTATTGATGGATTATGAAGAAAGGACAATCATTACCTTCATTTGTGCACCCAATAATGAGTCTTTCAGGCTCCAGTAGATAGTTCCAAACCTTGAGTCACACAGGCAGTCCTGGCTAAAACCAAGGCATCACAAAACAAAAAGACATAACTAGGGAAAGGAAATTTTAGGAAGGAAGGAGGAAGTGAGAAGGTGGGAAGGAGATAAGAGTATCTGTTGGAGGTAAAGAGAATGGATCATATACATGTGTGAGGTGTGTGGGATAAACAGGATGGATCATATACATGTGTGAAATTTAGGGGGGAAACAGAATGGATCATATACATGTGTGAGGTATTCAGGGTAAATGGTCTGTGAGGTGCATAGGATAAACAGAATGGATCATATACATGTGCGAAATTGACAAAGAACAAACTTAATCAAGTTTTTAACTTTTCTTATTTATGAAAAAACTGCACACATTCCATGAAGATGTAGTTATTTTCTCTGAATATTTCCAATCCTTGATTAGTTCAATCTGTAGATGCAGTAATTGTAAATGTGGAAGACATTAACTATTACTAGAGGCATGTATTTGTTTCCTCTCAATTTTCCCCTTCCTCAATTAAAAAGTCGTTAGTATAAAGATATAAAGTTTTCCAGAGTTTAACAATATCTTCCAAACTTTCCTTTTGGGTAAAATTTCTGTGCAAAATAGCACTCACAAAGACAAATAATGATAGCTCATATTATACTTGATCTAATGCAGACATAGGTGTGCATGTTTGTAATCCTAGCTGAGCATGATTGATTCTGGAGGATCACCACAAAGTCAAAGACAGCCTAGGCTACATATGAAGACCTCTATAAAAACTAGATTAGCAACAAGAGTAACAGAATTTTTAAATCTGCCTACAAGTTAGAGTTTTAAAGGTAATTTTATGGTAATTAGTCTATTGTGGTTTGGGCCATGCATATTTGTACCTGGATACTTGCTTTAGTGTGTGTGTGTGTGTGTGTGTAGAGCTATACATGAGTCATGCATTTTCCTAATATTATGTTATAGATTATTGATTGAGTTTTTATTGATACTTTCTTTTCTCTCAATTTCCTTTCACTATTCTCTGACCTCCCTTGCGTCCTCAACCCCCAATTTTGGCCAGCCCCCCACCCCCATATTTCATTAGTTGAGAACTTGAGCCATTCCTATTTGCCCAACTTCCTAACAAAGGACAACGTTAACAACCACCTCTCCCAGATCCATCTGAACTACATGTATCTCACATTCATCTGATAAATCAGTCATCTGGACCTGGAGATGTGGATGCCAGTATACGCTAGTGGAGAAAAGCTGTCAAGTCACCAGGACCGGCCGGCCTCCTTTACCACCAGGGTCAAGAGAACAGACATTGGTCCCAGAAAAAGAGAAAAATCCTTGAACATAATATGTTTCTAGGCTTTTTCTCATTCAGAATTCCTCCTTGCTCCCATTTCCGTGGAAATACGCTCAAATACTGTGGTTGGATATGATTCTCTTTCTAAGCATTTTACACACACACACACATAGTTTTTTCATGATGTCCCCTGCTCTTTGCCAGCCTCTTTGGTGACAAGGAACCCAGAGGGAAAGAGGAATAAGATATGTGATAGGAACAAGGCAGAACATTCATGTGTAAGGTGTACAAGTCACCAAGTCCAAACCTATAAGCAGATTAAACCTCTGTTCTAGTTGGAACTATTGCACAACATTCTAGACTTTAATACCTTATGAAAAGCTTATTATGACAAGTCAATGACAGCGCTTTCAGTAGGTCAATAAATCATGGATGTATCACATCACAGAGATGACAACTATGTAAAGCATCACAGGAAATCTGATATTATTTCAACAAAATAGCAAATATAGCCTCTTGGCACTACTACAATTTTAAGTCAAGGTTTTAAAAATATATTATTATTATTAATATTGTTGAATGGGAAACTTTCTTGGATGGGGTGCTGAGAAAGTAAGCATTGTTTGTTTAGTTCAAAGTTTAACATGAGTTGAAATCAAGTAGTACACTAGAAGTAGCTTGCAAAAGCAGCTTCTCACACTGAGGCTCCAGCTATACCTTCTAACTATGCTGATGTTCTACTTTTGCCTTATAATTTGCTCCCATTGGGTAGGGGAAGAAATCCAAACCATATGAAAATTAGGATAAAAAGAGTGTTGGGAGCTTTCAATCATGGCATCTTTCCAAGCATCTGCTAAGAGAGGAGATGTTAATTTTTTAAATAATGTTTAGGGCATGGTTGTATAGGAATTGGAGGCTTACCCAACCTTATTTTGTTCCTCTCCAACTGGAAACTTCGAAGCAGCTGTCAAAGTGGGGGTAACGGATGTTAGCAGCAAAGGGTGCAAAGGCAACCACTTACTCCACTTTCCAAGCTGAACATTATCCTGTGCCAACATTTTTTCTGTTCTTTCAGCATAGAGGGTGAGAAATAGAAGGATTAAGAAAGAATAATTAATCTTGGTATATGGATAGTAATTTCTAACTTATAAAATTCTTTACATAGTTTATCTCATGTTATTTTCAGATTAACTTTCTATAGTAAGTAATTACTAAATCTGCTGTTACTCTGCCCATGTGAGAAGGTGAAGGCTCAGAGAGTTTAACTAGCTTGTCCCTAAACCTATGGTGGAAACAGGACCATAGCCGGAGTTCCCATTGTCAATATAGAGCTTTGCCCATTGTATCTGTTTATCTTCTGTCATCTGGTTTGGAATTCTTTTATTCCTGCTACCACACCAATGTTAGCAAATCATAAAACATGGCCAAAATATGAATATAATAAGCCATATTTTCAGGCCTTTCCACTTTGTTCTTTATTCACACTAAACTTTGCAATGAAGCATTACTGTAGTCCATTCAAGACTGTTCACATAATGTGTCTGCTTTAACTTTTTATTGCTTAAATTCAGTAATTTGGGGCCATGGTGCCTTTGCACCATAGTCCTTACAAAGACTCCTGGTCCCTCACATTATTTCTGATCCTAGCCTCAAATGTTTGTTCCTCTCTCTGATGTTAAACACCATAAAGGGATTGGTAGTAACTGATGTAACTTTATATAACAATGCACAGTTTGACAAGGAACAAAATAAAACAGCTCACCTACTAAAATGCCCTGTTTACTCACTCCCCCAGACTGCTTCTGATAACCCCTTTGCCATCTAAAACGGGCCTAAGAAGGCATTTCATATCACACTATAAATCTTTGTGAAAGTATGTTAATCTGTCCCACTATTCCACCATAATAATTTCCACCCCTGAACACCCTCAAAGTTAAAGCCCAGTCCTGGTCCCTGAAGATTATTCTTCCTAACACAGTTGCCATATCCTTTCCTTCAACTTCCTTTTCTGGGCCCAGCTTGGGGAACAGCCCAAAATGGATTTAGCCTATAATTGTCAACAGGAGGGCCTGCCAAATCTGTGTCTGCACAGAAATAAACCCAAGTTGGCAGAGAGGTGAGAAGCACAGCCATCGCCATTTCATCATAGCAGGATCCTCCCAGGAGTTCCATAAAGCAGCCAGCTCTCAGCGAAGGCTGAAGACCCGAGGAGTAAGGGGCAACATAAAAACAGACTACACACAAACAAGGCATAAGGGTTTCAAAATAAACCACTCCAGGCAGCTCACATAACACAGCCCAGAATCGCCTGTGAGACTGGAATGCCCAGATTCCACAGTGAGGTCCAGCCCACTGACCATGAGGTCAGTCTGTTCTGTGTTTCACTTGTGCATATCTAGTTTCTACTTATGCATATCTGTGACCTGTGACATGAAAATGCAACTGTTGATTCTGTGCATGTGCAGCTGATTTCCAAGGTTTAGAGAATAGCATACAGCATAATACTTAAGAAAGGATGTCTGAAGCAACCAGAGGAAGGCTTGTCTCTGCTTTTCACTAGTTAAGAGTCTTTGGTCCAGTTATCTTAGCTTTCTCAGCTCAACCTCGGAAGCAGATCATCTTCATAGGAATGGATATGTAGATTCAATAGACCATAGACATGAAAGTGCTTAGCACAATGCCTACCTTAGAGCACATGATCAATAAATATTTAAAATGAAGGCACACACACACACACACACACAAACACACACACACATTTTACATTTGTTCTGAAACCTAAATGAGATTTAATGCAAGTTGGGCTATGTAGTTCAAACCCATAATCATGGCTACTTGAGAAGCTAAGTCAGGGGAATCAAAAGGTCAAGGCACGCCCGTGATACAGAAAGGCATGAAGACCAGTCTGAACAAATTAATGAGAATCTGATTCACAATACAAATTAAAAGTAGGTATTGGAATATAGCTCAATTATAGAGCACATGCCTAGGATGTTTGAGGGCCTAGGTAATCCTCAATCCTGGAAATAAAACCAAATGTGAAGGGACTTGAAATAACTTGAACTGGTACATTATCTTACAGTTCACTACTAAATTGCCTTATATCTGTCAATGATTGTATTTTGCACCTCTAAATGCTGCCATTGAGGATATCCAGTCATGTTGATATCATTTGATCAGGGCTTGCCATGGATATAAATTTTCAGGGTAGTAGATTTTCAGTGCCCTACAGCGTTATTAAGCATCTTATAACCTACATTTACTATGGACAAATAGGAAATGCCTACCTTAGAATACATGATTAACAAATGATAAAATGAAGACACACTGGTAGGAAAAGTACATTTTCCCACTTCTTGACTTTCAAGTTGACAACGGGATCTGCTTTGGTATTCTGGAATAATAAGAATTATTGGAATTAGGTACACACTGTAAACTCCCAGATGTCTCTGGTTCTTATGAAATGTATACCTCCAGGGAGCTGTAGGTCTCAGACTGATAACAGCCACATGAGACAGACTTGAAGCCAATAACATATTAAGCCAAGTTCAGTTGAGTCCTAGGTGTGTGAACAATAAGTAAATGCTCATTTTGTACATTATTAGGTTTCTCTCTGGGTATTAGAGTGACAGCAACAAAATGAATACACAGCCATAAATCAACTTCTCTTTGGAGGTGAGAATATCTATCTATTGACAGCCATTTGTCTTCTGAAACTTCTGTGCTAAATGGCAGTGACAGAGCTACTGTCAGGGCTTTGTGGTACAAAAATCACGGAAATGAAGAACCCTGGTTTTTTTGGTTTTGGGGTTTTGTTTTGTTTTGTTTTATTGATGAGGGTTTTCTCAAAGCCTTGAACCAACTTCTACCATCTGCTTGCAGATTTGTCTCCAGTAAAAGTCACTTCAGGTCAGCCAGTTTCATATGAGGGAATCTAGAGAAGCAGAGTCCCTGAAAAGGAGATTAAGTCATTTAAAACAGCTGAGGGACCAGAGATGAACGAGAGCAAGAAAACAGAGATGAAGCTGTAAACGTAGAAGAACTCTCCACTGAAGAGACACAAAAATCTTCTCAGGCAAATGTCAGAGTAAACCTTGGTTCACTTTAAGTCTAGATATTTCCCTACACACATTTTCATAACAGATAACAATTTAAATATGGAGAATAGCATATCCCCTGTAATAACAATAATAAAACCACCACCATCACCAGCTCTATCACAGACTGCTTTCAACATGAGAAAGTTACTTAGTGATTTCCTTGCAAACTAGAAAGGTGTCAAGTCCCGAAAGTTCTGAAAATATACCATTTTTTAAAAAACTATTCTAAGCATTGGAAGACATGCCATGGCATTGCGCTTATTGAAGTAACCCTGTAAAGATAATAGATGATCTATCCTATTACAATAGCAATAGCTTAATATATGTGCAAATGAATCACGGGAAGAAAATGGTAGCGATGATGTCTGTCAAATAACAACAACAACAACAACAAAACAAAAAGAAAAAATCCTACCTTCTAAAACATTTTTATAAGATACCAAGGCATGGAAGAGTTCATTTTAGGTGTTATATTCTATAAATATCTGGAAAATTCAGAAAACAAAGTTTTCAAAGGTAATTGGAAATCTACCGGATAGTTTTGCATTACATCATAGTTAATTAAATTTCATCGACTGAATTAATAGCACCTAATTTTGCCCTGCTCTTTCTTTTCTTTGCTTCCTACAGCCATGTTGTCTTACTCTTGTGTTCTTGCTGAAAAAGAAATGAAGGGTTAGACAACTTATCTAGAGTGACTACAATGGAACTAGATTATCGTCATGCTGGCTGACTCCCTTACTCAAGCAAGGGATGATGTCACTATTACACAGGAAGTCACAGTCTAAGGAATTGCTCCGAAAGTAAATATTTAATAGATACTGTGGATGACTTCATTGGAAATACTGACCTACCATATTAGGAGGAGGTGAACATGTGGCCAGATGTATTCCTAGCTTCTGAAAGCCTTAGGAATGAGGGATGGATGGATGGTTGGATGAAGAGTTTCAGAGTTCTTCTGTGTAACTTATAATCTATTGATGCCTACTTCTAATGATAGTGAATTGCCATATTTCTGAAAGAAAATGAGGTTATCTATATTACCCCAGATGGCACACACAGCTACTCTGAATTTGCATGTGAGAGGCCACACTTGGGGTAATGTCAAATGTCTCCATAAACAGTGTAGGAAGCAGTGTGTACATATTTACACCAGCCGTTGTCCAATCAGCTTGAATAAAATAGGCCTTTTAACTTCACAGTAAGCTTTCATAAAGCAAGGAAGAGATTAAAGTCAATATATCTCTTTCCTAAAATCCCTCTGTCTCATTAACTGAGGAAATCAAACTCATGTGGGAACTCACCATTTCCTTCTTCGATAAAGAAAGTAGCAACCACGGAAGGTGGAGTTCAAGGAGAAAATTCAGGCTTTGCTCTATAGTTACTGAAAGACTAAGTATGAGCAGAGAAAACACCATAGAAACAGAAAGCAGACTTTCATGAAACTATGCACTCCTCGGGGCTTCAACGTTCAGTGTGCACTGGAGTAGGGAACACTCCTGAGGATCAACCAGACATTTTTATTTGCAACAATAAGTTATCCCATATGTTTAGAGAGTGATTTCTTACCTGGTGGCTAGAGAGTTGAATTAATGCGGCTGTAAGGAGAAAGAAAAGAGAAGGGTTAGGCCTGATTCCTTTGTCAGAACTGGGCCTGGGACTGGGGCGGCAGCAAATCATCAGAAGTGAGCAGAGTCTTGGGTGATTGACCCTGAACATCAAAGGCAACTTGGAACAAAGCGGTAGGATGGAAGTCAAAATCATAGAAAAGTGAGGTAAGTGACGATCAGTCATACAAACGCATGTCAATACATATCAAAGACACAGAGCAGGAAAGAGGGACTGGTGGCAACAGTCAGAGACAATGAATATGCACACAAACAGAGGATAAAACATTAAGAAGGTCAGTCTCAACTTGACAGAAGAAAATAAAGAACAAAGAATGGTAAGACAAGCAAAAGTAGAAAAAAAATCCAAGGTAAATGGCAAAAGATGCTGAAATAAGTAAGACCTTTAAGGGTGTGGGGAACTGGAGATCATAGGAATGGCAAGGAAAAGTTATTGCTAGAAGACGCAAAGAGGATAGGAAAAAATGAGTTCTCCACCTGAGTGTTCATAGAGGATAGAAGTCAGATAGACAGTGGCTAATGCCAGAAATGGGCAAGGAAAATGTTTCACTATGGAGAAACTGCAGCATTCTCAAGCTTCATAAAGTTCCACGGGTGAAACAGTATTGCACCTGAAAAGGAGAGTGTGCGTGCTTGGGGTGGAGTGTCTTAGAAACCTTCCCGCTGGGCTTTGGCAAATCTGGATAAGGAGAGGCAGACACAGCCCTGGACAGTTAGCAGTATCTCACTGGGAGATAATGCATGGCTCACTCTTTGGCTGCCATGTGATGAGACCTAAATGTCAGGAAGGTAACACCCATTCCTTTTAAGAAGCAGGTGTCAGAACGGGTCAGTACTAAAATGGCTGCTGTTTGTGCTTTCAAAAAGGCCAGTCATTGTGGTAGCTTAACTCCAACATGGCTAGATGATCATAGTGCCCTTTGACACCCCTAGCTCTGGGAGGTCTTCTCTCTGAGACACTTCCAGGGGAAAAATCACCAAGACAAACATTAGGGAGAACAAAGTCAGTCTCTAGGGAACCCAACTGCACAGCCCTCACTGCCATTCACCTCTGGTTTTAAATTCTGGGACTGATTTTAATGTACTTCATTTCACTATTATCGTAAACACCTGGGCAAGCTCCTGCCAGTGCGTTTTGAAAACAGCTAAGAAAGGAGGAAGGCTCGGAGGGAGTGAAGCAAGGTCCTGAAGAAGAGAATGAGGGAACTAGTGATTTCCCAGGAGCACAGGGCCAAGGAAAGCTTATGTATGCTGCTCTGTTGGAGAACAAAAGTGCAGAAACAAGAGTGGCCAACTTCTAAAGCCAGGCCTCACGGGAAGATTTCAGGACCTCCAAGAACAGAACCACTCCCAGGGGCAACTGTTCAGACACAGAAGCCTATGAGGGCGTGTCACATTGGAACCGTAGTAGCAGGTTTCCTCTGCCATGTGCTCCACCGTGATGAGCTGTCCTAACACAGTCACAAAAGGTAACCAAGCCGCCCCCCCAAAAAAAGTGTGAAGACTGACTCCTAGATTGAAGTCTTCAAACAGGAAGCCAAAAACAATCTTTTTATAAATTCATTGTCTGACTTACAGTAACAGAAAACTGACAGATACAATGGGGAACCTTTGAAATTTACCAGCATAAGATGTTGCTACAGTAGTCTACTTTTGGGGAACATAAGATTTAATCATTAAAGCTATAAATTTTATATAAAAGTTATTACAAATCCATCACAGATAAGCGAGAATAGTTTTAAAGATACTTTATTTACTAATTTGACTTAAAATAAAAAGCAACCTAACTTAGACTAACTGGCTTACTAGTAAAAATAGTTCCTAATTCCTTTTGTCAAGGGTCAGTTATTCAACTCCACAATATTCCAGGGTTGAAGTAAGAGAAAATGTAGTCATTTGGGTTATTTTCTACTATACACTGAGTAAGATGTCAAGATAATGGTATAACTTCCTTGTCAAATAGCGTTAAAACATTGTTTTTCTTTCTTGTTTAGATGATAATATTCGTGGCATACATCTCAGCCAGGAATGTGTACCTACTACATTATTTTTTTAAATTCAGTGTGAGGCTAAAACAATCATTTGCTTTTACTCCTAATTTGTAGCTAGGAAAAGTGGATTTCATGAAGAATGAACACACTTGTGACCAGTGTCAACCATATTGAAATGAGAACAAAGGCTGTCCTATGATATAATGAGAAAATTCATTTTACTTCATATTAATTGACAAATTTAAGTTCTGAAAATAGCATCCCAAAACATCTTTATGCATGTTTGAGGCTTCATAAGAATATCCATGCAGGGTATGGCCCATCCATTGGTGGACTCGGTACTAAGCAATTGTAGTGTTGAACAGCTTCTTTTTTTAATAAAAATTTTTATTTAAATTGAAAACAATCTTATTTTGCATACTAATCTCAGTTCCCTCTCCCTTTCATCCACCCATGCGCCCCACCAATCCCTCACCCCACCCTCAATCCACTCCCCAGAGAGGATAAGGCCTTCCATAAGGGGTAATCAAAATCTGTAACAGCATCTTTCTTTCTTTCTTTCTTCTTTTCTTTAATCATTATTTCTCTCTCTCTGTCTCTCTCTCTCTCTGTCTCTCTCTCTGTCTGTCTCTGTGTGTGTGTGCATCCGTGCGTGCGTGCATGTGTGTGTGCGTGCGTGCGTGTGTGTGTGTGTGTGTGTGTGTGTGTGTGTGTGTGTGTGTGTGTGTAGGAGGGAGAGAGAGCAGCACACATGTGGATGTCACAGGAAAACTTGCTGGATTGGTTCTCTCGTTTCATCACCTGGGGTACAGGAAACAAAAGCAGGTTATCAGGCTTGGTTACAGGCATTCTTTTCAACTGAGTTACCCTGCTGGCATGGGGCAGCTAAGATTTGTTTTGTTTTGTTTTATTTTTTATTTTTTGGTATATAACATTTTTTTAATTTTAGAAGCACTCTTATTTATATATCAATCCCCCCATTCCCCAGCCCTCTTCTCCTTCAATGATCTCTACTGACACCCCAAACCACCATGCACCCATTCCCCAAGGATAGTGAGACCCTCCACGGGGTGCCATTAAAGTATATTACATCATTTGGGGAGGGCCCAGGCCCTCCTTCCCCTATCTGTGCTACAATAGTATCCCTCCATAGGGAATGGACTCCCAAAGTCCATTTATGCTCTAGGGATAAACACTGGCTCCACTGTTAGAGGTCCCATAGACTGCCCAGGCCTCCTAGCTGACATTCACATTCAGAGGGCTTGATTTGGTCCAATGCTGGTTTCCCAGCTTTACCACTAGGGTCTCTGTGCTCTCACTAGGTCAGGCCAAATGTTTCTGTTGGTTTTTCCAGCACAGTCATGGCACCATTGCTCACCCCTCCTCTATCTACACAACTGGATTCCAGGAGTATGGCTCAGAGCTTAGATGTGGGTGTCTGCTTCTGCTTCCATCAGCTACTAGATGAAGGCTCTAGGAATGGCAACCAAGGTAGTCATCAATCTCATTGTAGGGGAAGGGCATCAAAGGCAGGCTCTCCACCACTGCCTAGATTCTTAGTTGGTGTTATCCCTGTGGATCCCAGAATATTTCTCCAGTGCCAGACCTCTCTCCAAACCTATACTGGCTCCCTCTATCAAGGCATCTCCTTTCTTGCCCTCCTTTATTCCTCCTCTGTCTCAGTCATCCTGATCCCTCCTGTTCTCCTCCTCTCCCCTTCCCACATCCCCCCTCTCCCTCAGGGCTCCCAACTTGCTCAAGGATTCTTGTCCCCCTTCCTTTCTTTGGGTGACCATGTGCTCTTCTCTCAGAGTCCTCCTTGTTTCCTAGTTTCTCTGGTGGTGTGGATTTTAGGCTGGTAGTCTTTTGCTCTATGTCTAATATCCATATATGAGTGAGTACATGCCCTGCTTGTCTTTCTATGATTGGGTACCTCACTGAGGATGTTTTCTTCCAGTTCCATCCATTTGCCTGTGAATTTCTAGATTCCATTGATTTTTCCACTGAGTAACTATGTAAATGTACCACATTTTCTCGATCCATTCTTGGGTTGAGGGGCATCTATGTTGCTTCCAGGTTCTGGCTATTACAAACAGCACTGCTATGAACATAGTTGAACATATGTGCTTGTTGTATGAATGTGCATTTTTGGGGTATATACCCATGAGTGGAATTGCTGGATCTTGAGGAAGACTGATTCCTATTTTCCTGAGAAACCACCATACTGATTTCCAAAGTGGCTGTACAGGTTGACACTCTCACCATAAATGGAAGAGTGTTCCTCTTTCTCCATACCCTCTCCAGCATAGACTGTCATTGGTGTTTTTGATTTTAGCCATTCTGGCCAGTGTAAGATAGTATCTCAGAGTGTTTTGAGTTGCATTTCCCTGATGGGTAAGGATGTTGAGCACTTGCACAAAGTTAACCTGGAGGAGTACACACCAGGAAATAACCAAATTGAGGTCTGAAATCAATAAAGTAGAAAGTAGAGAAACAATACAAAGAATCAATTAAACAAACAGTTTGTTTTTCAAGAAAATCAACAAGATAGACAAACCTTTATACCAACAAACCAAAAGGCAGAGAGAGAGCATGCTAATTAGCTAAATCAGAAATGAAAACAAGGGCATAACAATGGAAACTGAGGAAATCCAGAGAATAATCAGGTCATACTTTGTAAACTTGTACTCCACAAAATTTGAAAATCTAAAGTAGATGAACAATTTTCTCGATAGATATCACTTACCAAAATTAAATCAACAACAGATAAGAAATTTAAATAGACCTGTAACCCCTAATGAAATAGAAGCAGTCATCAAAAATCTCCCATCCAAAAAAGGCCCAGGGCCAGATGGTTTCAGTGCAGAATTCTACCAGAAATTCAAAGAAGAGCTAATACCAGTACTCAACAAATTGCTTCACACAATAGAAACAGAAGGGTCATTGCCAAAATTTTTATGAGTCTTCAATTACCTTGGTATCCAAGCCACACAAAGATACAACTAAGAAAGAGAACTACAGACCAATATTCCCCCTCATGAACATTGATGCAAAAATACTCAACAATATACTGGCAACTAGAATCCAAGAACACATCAGAAAAATCATCCACCATGATCAAGTTGGCTTCATCCCAGGGATACAGGGATGGTTCAACATATGAAAATCCATCAATGAAGTCCACCATATAAACAAAGTGAAAAAGAAAAACCACATGATCATTTCACTAGATGCTGAAAAAGCCTTTGACAAAATCTAACACCCCTTCATGATAAAGGACTTGGAGAGATCAGGGATAACAGGAACATATCTAAACATAATAAAAGCAATATACAGGCTGGAGGGATGGCTCAGCCATTAAAGGCTAGGATGACAACCAAAAATAAAAGTAATATACAACAAACTAACAGCCAACATCAAACCAAATGAAGAGAAATTCAATACAATTACTCTAAAATCAGCAATAAGACAAGGCTGTCCAATCTCTCCATATCTCTTCAATATTGTACTTGAAGTTCTGGCTAGAGCAATAAGACAACAAAAGGAGATCAAGTGGATACAAATTGGAAAGGAAGAGGTCAAACTTTCACTATTTGCAGATGATAGGATAGTTTACATACGTGACCTGAAAAACTCTACCAGGGAACTCCTACAGCTGGTAAACACCTTCAGAAAAGTGGTAGGATACAAGATTAACTCAAAAAATCAGTAGCCCTACTGGGCTGAAAAAGAAATCAGAGAAACATTGCCCTTTACAATAGCCACAAACAAAATAGAATATCTTGGGGGGTAACGCTAACTAAACAAGTGAAAAACCTGTATAGTAAGAACTTTGAGTCTTTAAAGAAAGAAACGAAAGAAGATACCAGAAAATGGAAAGATCTCCTCCCATCCTCTTGGATAAGTACTATCAACATCGTAAAAATGGCAATCTTGCCAGAAGCAATCTACAGATTCAATACAATCCCCATCAAAATCCCAACACAATTCTTCACAGATCTTCAAAGAATAGTATTCAACTTCATATGGAAAGATCTATTATAGAACCATAGTCCTGAAAATAGCTTGGTATTGGCACAAAAGTAGACAGGTAGATCAATGGAATTGAATTGAAAGCCCTTAGATTAGCCCACAGACCTATGAACACTTTATTTTTGACAAAGAAACTAAAGTTACACAATGGAAAAAAGAAAGCATCTTCAACAAATTGTGCTGGCATAGCTGAATGCTGACATGTAGAATGTTGCTGATAGATCCATATCTATCACCATGCACAAAACTTAAGTCCAAGTGGATCAAAGACTTCAACATAAATCCAACTAACCACACTTAGAGAAAGTTGGAGGTACTCTTGAACCCATTTTACAGGAGGCTTCTTCCTGAACATAATAACACCAGTAGCACAGACATTGAGAACAACAATTAATAAACAGGACCTCCTGAAACTGAGAAGCTTATGTAAGGCAAAGGACATAGTCAACAAGACAAAATGGCAGCACACAGAATGGCAAAAGGTTTTTACCAACCCCATATCTGACAGAGGGCTAATTTCTAAAATATATAATGAACTGAAGAAGCTAGCCACCAAAACACCAAACAATCCAATTAAAAAGTGTGGTACAGAACTAAATAGAGAATTCTCAATAGAGGAGTCTAAAATAGCTGAAAGACAGGTAAATTTTGGGTTTTTTGTTTTGTTTTTGTTTTTGTTTTGTTTTTGTTTTTTGGTTTTACCAGACAGGGTTTCTCTGTATTGTTTTGGAGGCTGTCAGTCCAGCCTGGCCTCGAACTCACAGAGATCCGCCTGCCTCTGCCTCCCGAGTGCTGGGGACAGGTAAGTTTTTAATGTGTATCTGGAATTATACTCTCCTCTGTTTGAAAGTCAAGACTCTGACAAAACTCTTTGTGGTCCCTTGCAGTGTGTTGCCTACTTGACATTTGCTATGGCTCTCCAACTCAACCCAGTTTCAACCCAAGACATGTCATCATTTTTTGATAGGCTGCTTGAGTTTTCAAGGTTTGTATGGAAGAAATGTCCCTGGCTGAGTGGATCCTCAATCCCTTGCAGGAGAAAAAATGGAATGCAATCAGACATAGACTAGTTGTAAAGTAAGAAGTGAAGTTCACAAATAGACTCCAGTGGAGAAGCACAGCCACTCCTGAGGAGAGTAGCCAAAAGCAAAGTCAGACATTTCATTTTATGGAGAAGAGTTTGAATATTCATGTCTTTTCTGGGAAGTGTTTTGAATATTCATGTTTTTTTCTGGAAAGTGGGGAGACTTTCAGGGCATGCCTGCTGATTTGCACAGGGATTAAGTGGGCTCCGCTTGTACAGCGTTCCTCTCTCCCCTTACGGAGATGTCACTAGGCTAACTCATTACCACAAAGGTATAGTGAGGCTCCAAGAGGGTCGTCTGTCAGTTGACTGTCGTCTTGGCAGTCAGTGGCCCTAACCAATCTACCTGCAAGTTCCGGCTTTTGTCTGCTTGAATGTCGCTGCTTCAGTCGAACCTTCCAGTTTTCTCACTGAGAAATCTTATGGCCCCATGGGAACTCTCCATAGCGTCCATTAATCACTCCTCTTCTCTGAGAAGGCTATAAAAACGGGTCAAAATGACCACACAAGGCACAGTGCTCCGCACGTTTAGAAAATCTAAGTCCTCCATAGTCTCTGACTTGATCAGCTGTGGGTCTCTCTGTTTACTGCCCACTACTGCACGCAGAAACTTCTGTGGTGTCAGTTATATGATGCACTGATATACGGGTATAAAGATAAGTTATTAGGAATCAGTTTAATACTG